CGTACAGTTATTCCCACTACACACGAAGGAAGATTCACAAATAATAAAAAAGAAAATGTATAACAAAACGGACTAAATTCCAACATGGGTAGAATTGTGCAGTGTGTTGTAAATCAGTGTTCAAATGGATAGTAAACTTTTGGATGGAAAAATCAAACCACACTCAATACTGTACTTAATCCAAATGTTTACATATGACCTCGCTAACTGATCCAGTCACGCTTTTCTAGCGTCATGTTGTACGACTCCAAATGGATTCCACAGTATTAGTATTCACACAGCGGTTACAGGCCAACAAAGACGCAGCATGATTTACACACATGTGTATGCATCCCAGTGAAGACGCTAGGCGATATGCTGCCCGCTGATCGGCGTAAACAGTTCATCCCGACTGCACATATACACATGTACGTGTTTTTGATAATAAAGTCCGGTCTTGCACATATATTCTACACAAGTCTCTCTATGAGTTGAATGCAGCATTCGGTACATGTTGTAACCGCCAAACATGTTTCAAGGTCACAAACTATAATAAAATAGGCAAAAATACACTTCATTATGTAAAAAATAATCAAATTATATATTTAAAATTCCTGAAAAATTAATATAGATATTTAAAACTGGCCGCTTTTAGAATGAAGCAAGAATAATCAAACCACAATGGGGTGCCGGATGGTAACGTGCGCCCATGATTTGTAATACGTTCATTGCAGACTCACCACATCAAATTTAGATAAAGCTCAGATTGTAGGTTATTGTGTCCCCTTTAAGCAAGCACTGAGTCAGTATTGCGGTATACTTACTGCAGAGGACGCACATGTAGCCGGTCCATAGACCACCGAGCAAGCAGGAGCGGGCAACACGTAGGCAGCAGGCAGGTGGACCAACAACGGGCTCATGCGTCAAGCAACGTCCGAAGGCTGTCAAGCAGGCATTCCAACAGTCAACGAATGAATCAGTGTGGGAAAGGTCTGAAAATAATCTCTGATTGGTCGGAATCGATTGATATTGCAGTAGGGTCATTCTACATGGCATGAGTGCGTGCGTGTGTGCAGGCTGACAGCATCTGTCAATCAGTCGGTCAATCAATCAATCAATCGGGCCACAGGCAATAGCGACAAACGTACCAGTCACACAATAACCTGTAATCAAGAGCAGTTAACTTGTGGTGGCTTTTATATAGCATACTTTGTAAGTAGCACTGAGCAACTTTTGATTTCCCACGACTTCTGAAGCTCGTGTCTTGACATTGGTTCAGTGATATTTAAAAAAAAACGGAGAACAAATGACGCTGCTTGCCAAAATCGCACTGCATAGGGTACTCAACAATTGTAGAATCCACATCTTGTTTCACAAGCCGAATGACCAGTTTTTCAGAGAATAATGAACGCCGCCCATGAGGCATTCAGCGGATGAAATACCGATGTCCTTTTTTTCAGCTCACTTCTCTATTCTCTCAAGACAAACCCGATTGGATTCTAGGCAAATGGACTTTGGATGTATTTAGATAAAAAATGTTTCATCTGGGAACGTGATTTTTTAATATTTTCGCGATCACTAACTGCACATACTCCGGTCACTAACGAAATTCATGTGACTATTTGGACTGACTCGAAAGTTTATTCTCTAATCATTTCGCCTATTTAATTTTCTCGGTTCCTCGTTTTATCTTCTATGGTTTCTCCCTAATTTATTCTCCGAGAAACCGAAACCGAAAACAACGTTCAAGGTCGTTGTAGAAAAAAGTGCACGGTTACTGAAATGGGGAAAATCAAGCCAATAATTACACGATTACTTACGTTAGACTAAACAATCAGACCATGCATTTGATAAAATTATTTTTCCTGTTTCAAATAGTTTCTGATTGTAGAGTGGTTGCATCACTGGACTCAGCAATTCATTCAGATCTGGGCGTTTGTCAAAATGATGAATAATACGTTGAACTTGTTCAATAAATACATCCAAATACATGCAAACGGATTATCCCAATCCGTGATCAGCAGCAGGTCATTTGTGCGTACACAAAATCATTGATGTCTGCTCTGACGTGAAATATTTGCGTGTCGGCGGGCTGTTGATCACCTTACGTTTGTATCTATATATTTGTAGTTATTACAAACAGGAAATTTGATAACATTTTGTCAAAAAGGAATATTGTTAATAGGGGTTGAAAGCGAATCACGTTTGGACGGTGAGTGCGACTGGAGCACTGTAATTCCCGTGTATGAGAATGAGACAATAAGTTGTTCATGGTAAGATCAAAGAAATTTTGTATCTCATTGTAGATCAATCTCTATTGTCTATATCCATCTCCGTGCTCACAAACGTATAATATTTCCATACCTGCAGATATCCGGCTTTCCGTGACTCCAATGGAGACTATACAATGTTCTACTGGAGACTCCTGGCATTGCGATTGGTCTTTGTGATTCTGTTTGAGGTAGGCATTTTTCCAAATTTTCCCCAACTACATTCAGCGATCACACGAATGAAGGAAGGCCTGTTGTCTGTATTTTAACTAAGCCTGAGCCGACTTGGTAACACGAACGAACATATCGTTATTTCCTGATGTAATTTAGCGTTATTTGGGCTTTCAAACTGGTCAGTTATATTAGGTACGTGGTGTGGTTATCGGCTAATGATCTGTAATGCTCCAAAATGTGACAAAATCATCCTTGACAGTTCCCCCGCTTATGCATGAATGGGCATTACGAATGAACGGCTTCATGAGCCAAATCACGTGACTGTGTGTGGAGGAGATTCATGTGTACCGTGTGTTTGTGTATGCAGTAGAGGAGTTGTGAAAACCCAGCGCTGGTGAGGGAATACTAATCCATACTGATCCTGTACAGCCATGACAGTGATCAACGTTTTGTGTATGTTGGGTGTTATTTTTTCAGTTGGATTTGACTCAATCACTTTTCTACACACACTAATATGATATAATGCACTGTACGCGTGGTTTCACTGGCTGGTAGCAAATACGGGGCAATGTGAGTCTGTACAATCAGTAGTGGTGCTCAGCTTAGGATCTTTCATTTGTTCAGGATTCATAGTGTCAATATGAAAACCAATCTAAAGGCCAAATCGAAAGTGACGCAACGGGTCCCTGTGAAACACTTGTCGGTTCGTATAGGCAACAACATTTATATTGAAGTAAATTTGTGTTTCCAAATAATAATAAACAAGTTCGTGCAACCAGTTCCCTTTAATATTTTCATGAAAGCAAGGAGAAGCATCATGATCACAGGATGTGTTGAATTCAACTATTTCGTGGTAATCTCATCAGCTGTGTCTGTTTGCCTGTCCTTAAACCTGTCACTCCGCTAACCAAACATGATCCGAATGTATGCATATAGCTGATGAGATTACCACGAAATAGTTGAATTCAACACATCCTGTGATCATGATGCTTCTTCTTGCTCTTATGAAAATAATAAACCAGATTTGGAGAGTCTTTAGAGCAGTGATCTTCGTGATTAGTTTCTACTCAGAAGATGGAATGGTTCAGAATGTAGCGGATACTTCCATTTCGTCAGTAGTGGTTGACCTAGACCATGATGAGTCAACAGCTAACTAAAGAGAATAAAACAATTTTTATTTACAACAAATGAACACTAATAATTAATGGGATGTAAAGTTTGTCTACCCTAATAATCGATTGGTCTGCCTTTGTTCTTTAGAGCTTTTCCGAGTATCTTCGGCATCAAATTCACCAAATTTGTTATGAAGTCGTTTTCTATTTTGTGCTCCATTACGTGTCGCACTTTTGCCTTCGATTTCCAATGTACAGGTAGCACATTGACCTCTCTCTTCAAAATGGAAAGCAGATTTTCCATCACATTGAGATCCGGGCTATTTCTCACGGGCATTCACTGATTTAGAAAATGTCTCACAGAAGTCAAGCACGTTGGAACGAAATTGCACGCTTATTGATACGTGTGTTGCGAGAAAGATCACCATGCATGTTGTTCTGTTTTGAGGAATACAAACAGCCATATCAATCAAATCAGCCCGGGAACGCGAAACCCCAGTTAGTTTGAAAAATCGGGGCTTTTCTGCTCTGCTCTATCTATCTGTCTGTCTGTCTCTTGGTCTCATTAGCCAATCTATTCGCGAACATCTCATCGGCTTTCGTTGTTTAATTAATTAATTAATTAATTACCCGCCATCACATCTCTTAAACCGTGAAGTCCAGTCAGTTTTTCAACTGTGTCCCTTTGCAATCAAGCGGTGACGTTGCTATGCTGCAAGACTGATTTGTGATGGATTAGGAAATTCTGTCTGACCTGATGAATTGTGATCTTGTTCACTGCTGAATCGTACATGCTGCGGCCAGCTTTTCGGGTCTCGCATTCGAATTCTTCTTTGATTCGGTACACCGAATTGACTTAAATCCATTTGTTTCACTCATTTATTGCATCGGTGCACAAGTGGTGAAGGTCACTGCAGCAGTGGACCTCGGGCAGTGCGTTCAAACCCAGCCACTGCAGTCCAGCAAAGTGGCAATTTTCGTTCTGCCTCAAACAGTACTCAGTCTTAATTATCCCTCCTCAAAATGTGCCCGTGCTACAATTTCATTAAACTCAAAAGAAATCAGAAAAGAGAAAATGTTTTGTGACCGTCTTATTTTTTTGTACCACGAACTGGGAGCACTTCTTTTGATGAGCACTATTTAATGCATGCAGTTCCCAAAATAAAGAACACAACACACCGTACTTGAGCCCTGTTTGAATCGTTTCGCCATATCTCAGCTGGTGCTTATTGCAGAGAAGAAAATAGTTTATATGCAGCACAAGTGATGCTATGCCGAACACCATAAGAATTTCCTCCTCTGCTCTCGTGGTTACCACGGAAACAACAGATCTGCTGCTACTGATTGATACAACGGCTCTTTCTTTCCGGTTGCACAATTTACCCTCCCCCCTCACCACACCGCCCCGCTCCGCCCCGCTCCGCCCCGCCGCGATCCGCCTTTGTGCAATCACTGTTGCTCCGGTATGAAATTGTACCCGAATTCGACTGGTTTGCAGCATGTGGCATTTCTTCTGGCCGACCTATTTGATTTCCTCATCCCGGATGTGCCAAGTAGCCTTGCTGAACGGATTCAACGTGAACGATTCCTGGCCAAGCAGGCATTGCTCGATGTGCATCTGGTAGGTACCAATTTGTGTGTGTGTGCGTGTGTGTGTGTGTTATCAAATTAGATTGTGCATGAAGCGATACCGTGGACACTGGAGTTTATTGACTATAGATAACACTCAACCATTGTGTGTGCGTGTTTGTGTGATCTGAACGTTAATTATAAACCAAGAACACGTTCATTGACAAGGATGCGATAGCATTTGCTCGTCAGTTCGGACTGCAAATAATCAGAACAGGTTCCGTAGAAATCGATTCCAGACCATGAGTAACTGAATCCAAAAAAAAACAATATGGGTGTGCTTAGTCGTTTAGCACATCCTTGATTCCCATTGTTCTGTGCGGACCATCCCCCTAAAAATGACATGCACGTCTCTTGTCGGAACTGAGATTTCACGGACACTGGAAATCGAAATGTTGTGGCAAGAATATGTAGTGATTGATTTGAACTGACTAGCATACGGACTTTGCCTTCAGGCACAATCCTCAGTTCTTTTGATTAACCATACACTCGGAAGCACTAGAGAGTCGAGTTTCGCACTTATTAGAGCTCACCATCAGTTGTGCATATCCACTGTCTCGTACGGGATTTGAAATCTGGACCCATCGCATTGAGGGTGTGCGTGTTACCATTTTGTCAACCATGGCTGAACCAAATGGCCAATTCATGTTTGTCAGGTATCATCTTCAGTGACAGTCAGTCAGTTCATTGTTGGCTCAACAGCAACGAAGGGGGGCAGGGGTGACAATCTGTTAACTCTAATCAAGTCAGGACTCCCATACAGGTTACAGGCTGATTAGCCAACGAACCTACAAGACTCGATCAAATCCATGAATATCAATCAATGTCGCGCACCACTAATCACAAGTAACTATGAGTTAAATGCGGTAAAGGAATATGTATCACAAACATAGCTCTAATCTGTCAAATTTCGTTTTCTTAGAACTCTTTGATTCTATTCACATGCGTTGATATTGACATCGATGTTTCGACCCCTTATTTTTGGGTAATCATTTTGAAACATCTATGCTGATTCAAAATTTGACTGAGACTGTAATTGAACATACGATTGTTGCTGTTTGCATAGAATTACAACGGAACAGAAGAATATAATCTCTGGTATCACTCAGCAGACACACGAACAGAATTACATCAAGCATTCCACCAAGTGCAGACGGTGGAGCTGCACTAAAGTTGTTCTTCAAATAGTGCACCGCCGAGGAGGGAGTGCCAAACGGCATTCATTCAACCCAGTCACGTGATGGATGATAAAAAGCTCGGAAAAAAGAACTACAATAACTACCATATTTGTGTATTGTTTTCTTCATTGCAATCAAATACTTGTTCTCTCGTCTCCCGAATCCCTCATTACAAACTTTTGTTTTCATATTTCGAAAATTCAATTTTCCAGCAGATTGGAGGCACTTTGAACGATGAATTTGCTGAAGGTCAGCACACCCGACTTGTATATCCCAATATAGAACAAAACAGAACAAAGCAACCTCATTATGCGATGTTTTTAATCCCGCTGTTGTCAATTCATCACGGGTCATTTGCGTATTGTGTGATGTCCCGCGTAATCCTATCATCTTGCTGTTGTCGTGCAGTTATTGAACTTCTCTTTTGCTCAATGTATCCTCCTCGCTTTGTTTGTGTTGTTTGTGTAACATATAACCGCCACCCGTCGCCCCCATCCAACATAGTCCGTGCCAGGTAGTCTCCGAGTAGCCTAAATGTTACATTCCTTCGACATGCATCAACTAATTTCTCCCGTTTGTTGATTTTGTTTCAGGATCATTACTCCTCCATTGATCATGCTGATGATGACGTCCAGGAGGATGGCTGAGTTCTCCCGGGGGACACACGCACAGAGCTGCAGCAAATTTCTAGATCAAGAAGAAAAAGAGATTTGTCCAATTTATGCACAAACATGTTCCCTCACTGCTCGTTTAAAGAGTCCTTCCGTTCCGTCCCGATAGTCCAGTCCGGATTGGCTATCTCAATGCTCATCCCGATGTCCGCCACTCTCTTTTCTTGTTATGGTTCTTTGCTCATCCATCGTCTTGACTCGAATTTACCCATACACTATCGGTTTCCCACATTCCACGACCAACACCAACATCACGGTTATTGAGAGAATTGGATCGGACCAATTCTGATCGGATCACCTTAAAATCTGTCGCACCTCCCTTTGCTCTATCCTTCACTCCTTCCTCTCTCTCTCTCTCGAATATGAAGGTTTCGGGTCCCGGGGTTCGCAAACTGTGCGTCCGCCTACCGCGTGCCACCATTCCACAACACATGCGCTGATCAAATCGCTTCCCACACGCATCTATCAACAAGGGGCCAGATACCGACACAGACGTTCTTTCACGTATGGGTATACATGCGTGTGTATATGCATTCGGATTATTGCATGCGTTGTGTACCATTGGAAAGCGGCAACCAGCGGGAATGTATTTAAACCGTTTGCAGTTTTTGTCTTGCATTCTACGGGTACGTTTCCTCCATCTCCTCAGATTTGTTATGTATCTATTAGTGCGCGATTCCACACCGGCGGGGACAAGTAACAAGTGACAGCAAAAACAAATGGGGCTGCGGTGAATTAATAAGCAATATAAATGGTTGTGTAACATGATATGGGCGGGTCGGACGTATTCAGGGTTCAAGAAAGCACCTTAGAGCTTGCGATTGGTTTTCTCCTCTCTTCTGAGGAAGATATCACTTNCACTTTTCTCAGGTGTGTCCCCACTTAAAAATGGATTTATTATCATCCGATAAGGGCAGGAGGAGGGCGGAGGGGCGAAACCAGCGTTGGACACACGCGCGCATACCTTTCATGCGAGGAAAAACTAGAGTACAAATTCCACTGGTGATAGTAACTTAGAAAGGCAAAACTCAAGTGTACAGTGCTTTGATTGAAGGAGTAAACTTTAGATTGTATTTTGTGTTCCCGAACCTCAAGGATGAGTGGCAAAGTGACATTTTTACTGTTTCCATGNNNCTTTATTGATACGCATTATCCATGAGGTTTGTCATTGTTCAGGTAATGCTAAAACAACGCTCCAATATTGAAAATAATTTAAACGCAAAAATTTCATTATATACAGGTGAACACAAACTCTATTTGGAGGCCAACTTCCCAACTTCCCACCCCCACCCCGGATAAAAAGTAGGCCAAATTGGTGAAGAAAATCGATCCATTCAGTGCGATATCGATTTTATTTGATGATGGAATCAAAAGTATGGTGGCAAGTGGTGGTTGGTCACTTGCGGATTCTACCTGCCGACCGGTCCTTTCGATCAGCTGATACAAATGTTGAAGCGCTACTTCATCTGTTCAACCTGACCGCAACCGGTTTGGGCCCGAATAAAGCTGATTAGCAGTACACATTCAAATCGATACACAGAATGACGCAAACCGAGTACAGTTAAAGATGATTTAACGGATGAATTGTTTTAGTTTCGTCCTGATTAGTATACGATTCCTCAGT